GCTCAAATTAGGATAACGTAATTATCTCTCAAATACAGAAACTTACACACATATTTTAAAACACCCCAAAAATGCATGAAAATATTACAGGAACACGGACGAATGCTCCCCCTGGCTTTTATGGAGCAAATACTACTACCCCCAGTCGGTGGATCAAATCTCCCAAATATCGTTCATCTAGGTGGTCGGGAAGGTGAACGGGCAGTGCTACGAACTCCACCCATGTTTGTGGACTCGCGTGGGTGAAGATAGTTCCAGGGATTCAATGACCATATAATGCTGCCTGTGTTCAGGAGACAAAATGGCCTTCATGCACTGGACCACGTGCGTTCCGTTCTACGCCCAGGTAAAGCACTCAAGCTAATGTGTCAAGTTGGTAATTTGTGGTTAACAGCCATGGGAGGTTGGTGTTTGCTGAGGTATAAAAAGGGGGACCACACACCAGTCATTCGGGAGACGAACAAGGGGGTACAGACAACTGAACACAAGGGCCTAGTGTTTGCTACAATTCTCCCGCGTAACCACAAGCCGGCATACACAGTCTGATCCTGACGGATCGGCTTGGGGATGTCCAGGGCTGCTCATTGGTCATTTCTTAAGTTCTGTCTGTCTGGACAACCCGTCAGCATTTCCATTTTGTTTCTGGGGCGGTAATGAATTGTGAAGTCAAAAGGCTGCAGCACCGAACTCCAGCCTCGCGTTGTCCGCTTCCACTCGGTTCAGCCATACCAACGGGTTGTGATCCCTGAGCAAGGAGAATGGTTGTCTGTACAAATATGGTTGTAACTTTTTAAGGGCCCCCACCACAGCCAGGCATTCCTTCTTGATATCGGCGTAGCTTACTTCTCTGGGTAAAAGCTTGCGGCTGATCTAAGCCATGGGATGTTCTCCACCATCGAGGCCAACTTGGCTCAGTGCTGGGCCACTGCCTCAATCTTAGTAAGCTCAGGCTTTTTCTGCCTGCACCCACTTTGTAACCGAGGTACTGTACCTCGGCTATCCCTATATTGCACTTGCTGGGCTTAAGCCCACTTACCTTATCCTATCTAGGGCCACTCCTATATGGGCCAAGTGCTCCTGCCAGGTATTGCTGAAGATGACTGTAGCGGATACCATCTGGCTGTCCATCACATTTTCATTTGGCAACAGTATTTTCTTTTGTTTTTATTGTGTGCAAGCAAATTGTGACCAAGCATTCGTCTGGTTGTTCGGTAGAAAGCCATGGAGACTAAAGTGAATCACCCCCAGGGGCGGACTGAGAGCCTTTGGGGCCCCCGGGCAAAATTAGATCCCAGGCCCTCTGAAGGCCAAATATATGTGCATTAAATAAATGTTAAATATAATTCATAATACGGCATTCCTTTGGATGTGTGTATTGTGAAGACCTGTGTATCAATGCATGTTTGTATTTGAGTCTGTGTGAATGCACTTGTGCATGTCTGGATGACTAAATGTGCTTTTTTGTATATAGGGTCAGTGTGAATGCATATGACAAGTGACAGAGTGTGTGAGGGAGAAGGTGACAGGTGGAAGAGTGTGGGAGGTTGTGACAGGTGGCAGAGTGAGGGAGGGGTTGAGTGGTGGCAGAGTGAGGGGGAGACAGTGAGTGGGTGTGAGTGGGTGTGACTGGTGACAGAGTGAGGGAGTGGGTGACTAGTGACAGAGGGAGGGAGATAGGGGTGACTAGTGACAGAGTGAGGGAATGGGTGACTAGTGGCAGAGTGAGGGAATGGGTGACTAGTGGCAGAGTGAGGGAGGGAAGAGATGACTAGTGGCAAAGTGAGGGAGGGAAGGGGTGACTAGTGACAGAGTGAGGGGGGGTGACTGTCACTAGTCACCCCATCCCTCTCTCTGTCACTAGTCACTCCCTCCCTAACTCTGTCACTGTGTCACCCGCTCCCTCACTCTGTCACTGTGTCACCCGCTCCCTCTCTCTGTCACTAGTCACCCCATCCCTCTCTCTGTCACTAGTCACCCCATCCCTCTCTCTGTCACTGTGAAGGAAGGAAGGGGTGACTGGTGACAGAGTGAGGGAAGGGATGACTAGTGGCAGAGTGAGGGAAGGAAGGGATGACTGGTGACAGAGTGAGAGAGGGGGTGACTAGTGACAGAGTGAAAGAGGGGGTGACTGTCACTAGTCACCCCATCCCTCACTCTGTCACTAGTCACCCCCTCTCTCACTCTGTCACTAGTTACCCCCTTCCCTCTCTCTGTCACTCCCTCACTCTGTCACTAGAGTGAGGGAAGGGGTGACTAGTGGCAGAGTGAGGGAAGGAAGGGGTGACTAGTGACAAAGTGAGGGAGGTGGTGACTGTCACTAGTCACCACCTCCCTCACTCTGTTACTAGTCACCACCTCCCTCTGTCACTACTCCCTCCCTCCTTCTGTCACTAGTCACCCCCTCCCTCACTCTGTCACCTGTCACCCCCTCACTCTGTCACTAGTCACCCCCTCACTCTAGTGACAGAGTGAGGGACGGGGTGACTAGTGACAGAGTGAGAGAGAGGGTGACTAGTGACAGAGTGAGGAAGGGGCTGACACAGTGACAGAGTGAGGGAGGGGGTGACTAGTGACAGAGTGAAGGAGGTGGTGACTGTCACTAGTCACACCCTTCCCTCCCTCACTCTGTCACTAGTCACCACCTCCCTCTGTCACTACTCCCTCCCTCCTTCTGTCACTAGTCACCACCTCCCTCTGTCACTACTCAATCCCTCCTTCTGTCACTAGTCACCCCCTTTGTCCCTTACTCTGTCACTAGTCACCCCCTAACTCACTCTGTCACTAGTCATCCCCCTCTCTCACTCTGTCACCAGTCATCTGCTCACTCTGTCACCAGTCACCCCTTCCTTCCCTCACTCTGCCACTAGTCACCCCTTCCCTCACTCTGTCACCAGTCATCCCCTCACTCTAGTGACAGAGTGAGGGAGGGTGTGAGTAGTGACAGAGTGAGGGAGAGGGTGACTAGTGACAGAGTGAGGGGATGATTAGTGACAGAGTGAGGGAGGGAATGGGTGACCAGTGACAGAGTGAGGGGGGGTGACTAGTGAGGGAGGGGGTGACTAGTGACAGAATGAGGGAGGGGGTGACTATTGACAGAGGGAGGGAGATGGTGACTGTCACTAGTCACCCCATCCCTCCCTCTGTCACTAGTCACTCCCTCCCTAACTCTGTCACTAGTCATCCCCTCCCTCACTCTGTCACCAGTCACCCCATCCCTCCCTCTGTCACTGTGTCACCCCATCCCGCCCTCTGTCACTAGTCACTCCCTCCCTAACTAGTCACCCCCTCCCTCTGTCACTAGTCACACTCTCCCTCACTCTGTCACTAGAGTGAGTGGGTGACTAGTGACAGAGTGAGGGAGGGGATGACAAGTGACAGAGGGAGGGGGTGACTAGTGACAGAGCGAGGGAGGGGGTGACTAGTGACAAAGTGAGGGAGGGAAGGGGTGACTAGCGACAAAGTGAGGGAGGGAAGGGGTGACAGAGTGAGTGAGGGAAGGGATGACTAGTGACACAGTGGGGGGGTGACTAGTGACAGTGAGGGGGGGTGACTAGTGACAGTGAGGGGGGGTGACTAGTGACAGTGAGGAGGTGACTGTGACAGTGGGAGTGACTAGTGACACAGTGAGGACCCAGGTGACTAGTGACTTGGGAAGTGACTAGTGACAGTGAGGGGTGTCTGGTGAGGTGAGGGGAGTGACTGGTGACAGTGGGGGGGTGACTGGTGACAGAGTGAGGGGATGACTGGTGACAGAGTGAGGGAAGGGATGACGAGTGGCAGAGTGAGGGAAGGAAGGGATGACTGGTGACATAGTGAAGGAATGACTGGTGACAGTGAGGGGGGTGATTGACGAGTGACAGAGTGACAGTGAGGATGGGTGACTAGTGACAGTGGGACTAGAGTGACAGAGGGGGGGTGACAGTGAGGATGGGTGACTAGTGACAGTGGGGGGACTAGTGACAGTGAGGGGGGTGACTGGTGACAGTGAGGGGGGGTGACTGGTGACAGTGAGGGTGGGTGACTAGTGACAGTGAGGGGGGGGTGATTGGTGCCTACCTGTCTCTCTGCTTCCTCTCCCAGGCTGCAGCTCCTTCCCCTCCTGGCTCTGTGTGAAAGGAGTAAACAGGAAGTGATGTCACTTCCTGGCCCCGCCTCTCCCATCACACAGAGCCGCATGGGAGAGGAAGCCGGAGACCTGGCAGAGAGCAGGTGAAGCTGCCAGGTCTCATGGAGGGGGGGGGGGTGGTGAATAGCAGAGCGGTAGGTTGTGGGGCCCCGCGCTGCATCAGGGGCCCCACAACCTATCGATTAAATAGTTTTATTATTTTTTGCCGTTCCAGTTGGAGAGATCTCTGATCTCTCCAGCTGGAACAAGGCTGTGCTGCCGGGCCCCTGACTGCCTCGGGCCCTCGGTCCGTGACCGATATGCCCGAGTGGTCAGTCCGCCCCTGATCACCCCGGTCGACATACGAACAAATTACCAAACAACCAGACCACCCCTGAGAAAAGTGTGGCCCCAATTTACCTCCCCAGCTGTTTTTATTGCTATCTAATTGAAAAAGATCCGAACGCACTGTGTATTTCCTGGGTGGCCGCCATTCGGCATACGAACATGTGGCGGCGGCCATCTTGCCCTATGAACGCCCAGCGGTGTTTGGTTGTCGAGTGTCTGGAACCCAAATTGGACACTCGACCATGCGAACACCGCTGACACCTCCAGTCTTCCATCTCTGTGTGAGGAAACACACAAACGGCCCGACGTTCGGTAAAAAGGAATCCCGCGAATCAATACAAGCTGTTAAGAACTGCAGTGGTTATGGTACTGCAGTCTTCTATTCATTTCCCAATAGCTGAGCATAAGTGATTATAACTGCAGTTAGGAGGTAGAGGAATAGTGTAGATGAATGCAGCTTCCAAGATGATTCTCCCCAGCAAGTAGAATATTCCCCAAACATGAGCCTAGACTTCATGAAGGGTGTAACAGGAATGAATTTTATTAATGCCACACTGGCTTTTATGACAAATCCTCCTGCAAGAGGACCTCCCACAGTAAACAAAGGCAATAACCAATCAACACACAGATTTACAGTAACCCCCGCCCTCTCCCTGCCTGGGAGATATTGAGATAAGTTAAGGAATAACCCAATTATCTCCAGGCAGAGGTCACACAATTTTCCCAATAGTTAGAACACCCCTTTCCACACAAGGTATCCCTACAAATTACATATCCCCCGATCTGGGGGACCAACATATCCAAATTTCACCCAGATCGGTTCAGGGGTTCTTAAAAAGTATGGAAGTCACAAGTTACCGACCACACACGAAGCTCCTGCACAAAACAGTTCCACGAATTCAGTGTGTGCAGTCGGTCAATTCAGAAAAAGGCATAAAACTAATAAAAGTCCCGAATTGATCCCCCTAGCTCATAGGAGCGATTGCTCCCCTTGTCCGTATGAACAAAACTACTGAATGGCGCTCTCCTGGCTCTTCAGCAACTAAAGGAAGCAGGCGTTCGGTAGTTTCAGCGGTGGTTCGGGGAGGTCAAGTGTCTGATTTTAGTTCCAGACACTTGACGACTAGTGATGTCACGAACATGAAATTTTCGGTTCGCAAACCGCGAACTTCCGCAAATGTTCGCGAACTGGGCAAACCTGGCGAACCGCCATAGACTTCAATGGGCAGGCGAATTTTAAAACACACAGGGACTCTATCTGGCGAAAGCCATCCAATCACAGTGCTCTGTGTCATTTTACACAGCGTGGGAAAATTTAACTTTCCCACGCTGTGTAAAATGACAAAGAGCACTATGATTGGCTTAAACCCACCAATCAGAGTGTTCTTAGCCTAATTGCAGGGCGGGACAAGGCTTTATAAGCCTTCCCCCGCCCTGCGGAGCTCAGTCTGCACGGAGCCCTCCATGGGTGAAGATGGATTATTTTTTTGCGCTCGGGTTTTTTCTTTTTCGTCTGGATTTTTTTTTTTTTTTTTTAGTTCGGTTATGTTGGTTTTTTATTTGGCCTTTTTTGGGGCTGAAAAATGAAGATTTGAGAAAAAGAAGACGTCAAATGGTAAGTTTAATTTTATTTTACAGGTTAGTTATTTTATTCCCCCCTCACTATTTTTTAGGGTGAGGGGGGTAGGTAGGGACTTTTTATTTGGGGTGGGTGGGTGACTAGGGGCTTGGGGACCCCTAGTCACCTTGGGGGGGGGGAATTTACTTAGGGCTCCCACCCGCAGCCCAGGGGTGGGGGCCGGGGGGGTGGACAGTAGGTCCCCCCCCCTCATTATCAATATGGCCCCCACACGCCGTGCAGTGGTGGGGGCCGGGGGGGGCAGTAGGTCCCCCCTCATTATCAATATGGCCCCCACCCGCCGCGCAGGGGTGGGGGCCGGGGGGGGCAGTAGGTCCCCCCCCTCATTATCAATATGGCCCCCCCGCCGCGCAGGGGTGGGGGGGCAGTAGGTCCCCCCCTCATTATCAATATGGCCCCCACCCACTGCACAGGGGTGTGGGTCGGGGGGGGCAGTAGGTCCCTCCCCTCATTATCAATATGTCCCCCACCCGCTGTGCAGGGGTGGGGGCTGGGGGGGGCCATTAGGTCCCCCCCCTCATTATCAATATTGCCCCCACCCGCCGCGCAGGGGTGGGGGCGGGGGGGACAATAGGTCCCCCCCTTATTGTTCATTTTAGGGCCCCCACCCACCGCTCAGGGGTGGGGGGAAGGGGGGAGGACAATAGGTCCTCCCCTATTTGTATTTAGGGCCCCCACCAGGGGGGGGACCCTTTTTTTTTTAAACAGTGAGCAGCCACAGGCTGCTCACTGTTTAATAGACATGCCCCTACTCGCGGTATTGCGAGTAGGGGCACAATTTTCTAATACTAAGTAATTTTTACTTAGTATTAGTAAATTAATAGGGGGCAGACCGAACATCGCATATGTTCGCCTTCCGTTTCGAACGCGAACACGCTATGTTCGCCAGGAACTATTCGCCAGCGAACCGTTCAGGACATCACTATTGACGACCAAGTCCTGCTGCCTCCTTTCGTGCAAACAAGATGGCCGCCGTTTTCTGTTCCCCGTGGCATTCGGCTATACGAACAGCGGCCGCTCAGAGAGCGCTTAATAGATGGTTCTTTTGAAGTTAATGAGCCAGGAGGGTGGTCGGTGTTCGGTAGTTTTAAACTACTGAGCTAATAGATCCAACATGCACAAAATACTGCAGAAAAACACGAACTTAGGAGAAAATACCGAACACAGTCTATTTTCTTCACAATACTCCCCCTTAGTTCCATGGGTCGGGATACCTGCCTAGACCCTGCCGGGTTGGCTAGGGTATGTCCGGATAACATAATTATACATCCAAGTCGGTTTGGCGGGAAAGGCCATCCGCATTGCCGTTCTGCTTGCCCGGGCGGTATTGCAGTGTAAAATTGTAGGGCTGCAACACTAGGCTCCAGCGCAGCAACCAGGGATTGTCTCCAGAGACTCGGTTGAGCCAAATGAGGGGGTTGTGGTCAGTGAGTAGGGTAAAGGCACGGCCATAAATGCATGGTTGGAGTTTCTTTAGGGCCCATTCTAGAGCTAGGCACTCTTTTTTTCCACGGTGGCATAGCTGACTTCCCGTGGTAATAACTTACGGCTGATATATGCCACCGGGTGCTGCATGCCATCTTCCCCCACTTGGCTCAGCACGGCTCCCAGCCCAAACATGGAGGCATCTGTATGAATGAGAAATGTTTTATTAGGGTCTGGTGCCGCCAATACTGGAGCTTTGCTC